CAAAAGCCTAGGCTTCTTGCTCTTTGGTCCATTCTTCTTCGGGTATAAGCACAGACAATCCATCTTTATCAGTCTTCACTGGACGTGCCCATCCTGAGTTTGTAATTCTCCATGCCTTGTTGTCTAAAGACTTTAAGAAGCCAATCATCCTAGGTTTCCAATAGTCATAATTAGAGCCATCCAGAATTGGTGGTCTATTTGTGAATCTTATGTCTTTATCCATAGTACCAGAATTTATCTTCCCTAGATCTCACCAAGATAATAACAGGCAGGGTGCCTGCTCTGATGCCAATTGAAATTATGGCAAGCACGCGATGGATGATATTGTAGATGTTATGACATCCACTGTAACATAGACTACTGCACTTAATAATAGGTTGTAAATGGAAAGCAGTAAATAACACAAGTAATTGTTCACCCAGTTCAGTGTCAACAACACTTACATCTGGGGGCTACCAAGCCAGGGAGGAAATTCACTATTAGTAGAATAAATCAGAGTCAAACAATCCCAGTTTGCACTCCTCACTTAAGACCTACCCAATGACACTTCAACCTAGAGACCACTAGACCACAGTTTCCCACTCACTCCCCCTCAATCACCTCTGTGATATCAATATACAATTACACAATAAATATGAAGATACACTTCAAACACACCTTGATCTTGCTTCACAGCTTTGATCAAGTGACACACACTCTTGCTTAACAGCTTTGAGTGACACAATGAACACATCTGTTCATACACAATAACCACAAGAATTCTACAACATACAATTGCTTGGCACACAAGGAATCCTAAGATTCCTAGACTCACGTGAAGAACAAAGTTCTTCACTCACAAATCACATTCTCCAATCTCTGTCTTGAAGCTCTCTCTTCAAGCTCTCTTTCAGGTCTACTCGTTCTGAATGATCCTTCTGCTTTTTATAGTAGCAGACTTGTTTTGGGTCTTGATGGAGAAATTAGGTTTACCCAAGATAAACCTTTCTTCATGAAGTTGCGCACTTATCATTAGGTCAGGAGCCTTCTATGTTATCCTCAGCAATGCCTGTTATGTTGCCTAAAATAACTATGCTTCCTGGATTGTTTCCTGAGGTATAGCTTGAGCTAATAACAGAAAAACAAACTTGCGCGCCCTAATGTCATACGATCAATGTCATAACATTCAGCTTCACTTACTCTTAGCTTTCCTTGCATAACACTCTTCATCTATGTCTTAACATCAGTTATGACATTTGCTCATGCATTAATGTTTTGCCATAAAATGAAGCCAATCAAAAGCATCTACAGTGTTGAAGTACCTTTCTTGGTCTTCTCCTGCACAGAGAGGAAAGCTTGGTTAATAAGTTGAGTAAAAGAAGGAGCATCGAAGAACTTCTCTGTATAGTATGTTGGCCACCAGTGGTTGAACTCTGGGGTGCAAAAGAAAAATGGTTCAAAACCAGTGGGGATGATTTGAGCTTTGTTGGAGTAGCGGGCAAGTTGCGTCGAAGCCATCTCTTCAGTGTACTTCACATTATGAAGCAGAAGAGCACCTTTATTTTCAAAGAAACACCTGGGGAGAGCTTGGACCAACCCAAACTGTCGAGCCCCAAACTTGGTTGGTAAACAACCAAAGCCACTTGAGACTTCGACAGATTCAGTCGAAGCGTTATCAACCTTGGAATCAGAAAAGCTTCCTAGCTCTATGAAGATTCTGCTTCTTGAGCCTTAATTGGGGTTGGGAAAGGTCTGGTGAACCATTCACGACCATGTTTCCTTGAAGCAAATAGAGCCATGTTCGATGTGAACTCATGATATTTAGCAAACATCATGACATAACTTAAGAATATTGGCCTGAGGGTTTGTCCTTCTTTGCTGGGAGTGAGCTAGACCAAGTGAGTCCCTTCGACTCTCCTATTTCTGATGTCTTCAACAGTCTCATCGATTGGATTTTTATTGGGGAGGCTGGCTTCAAATGAGGCATTCAGCCAGAGTTGTAAAATCCAAAAGGGACCAGATAGTAAAAGGCTTCCCTTTTCTCCTAAGTCTTTGAGTTGGGCTACTCCCTCACTTAAAGACTCATAGAGGTTCCCCAAGATCATTTCGCTTAGGCATATATCATGGCCTTTGTGAAGTTGAATGGCCAAGGTTAAGTATCTCCTAGCTACTTGAAGGGACTTCGAGTAGAAGACACAATGGGATACAGTTAAAAGGCTATGTGTTCTCGATCAAAAACATCAGCAGTTGTTTTGTCGAAGAAGTGTGTTATGAAGTGAGAGTATGTGGCTTTGGCAGATGCAAAACATATGGAATCATCAGATTTTAGGTCGGGATCATAAGGGTTTCCAGTGGGTTCAAGCCCTGTGATAGCAGCTATGTGGAAGAGCGTAAGGGTCATCATCCCACAAGGGAGATGAAAAGTATATTGGTTGTTGTCCCAAAAGTACAAGGAAGAAACCAACACAGTCTGACAATAGTCAATACTCGTTTTCGACAACATAATCAAGTCATAGATTCCTAATTTCTTCCATGTTTGGGATTTGACTTTCTTTATTTTTGTTAGCAAGTTCATATAATCATCTGATTCTTTGAAAGAGGGTGTTGCTCTAAAAACTCTAAAGCTATTGTTCATATACCTTAAATCTATATTGTTTAATACTACCACATCAACAGAAGTTTTCTCAACCCTAGTTTTGTTTGCCTGACCTATGGGTTTTGATTTATGGTAAGAGGGGGAAAAATCTCTAGATTTATTATGGTCAAAACTAGGAGAAGGCAAAGGACCACATATGACATGTATTTTACCAGAAACAGCAAGAGGAATGAGTACTTGAGATTCATATATCTTCCTCTTTTCTTCCTCAAGTGGTTCGGGGAGGAACTGTTGGTTTTCCATCATCATAGGTGCCGATAATGTGTCAAAAGGAGGAAGTTGGGAAATCTTCTTCAGGTCTTTAGACTTGTGGATTTTCTTGGAATCTTTAATATTGGTGGTTGAAGACGCCATTGTTGAGATTTGAAGAGAATCTGGGTTTTTGTTTAGAAGTTTGGAAAATGTAGAGGGAAGAAGAGTGTTTGAAGATTTTTGGGAGTGTAAAAGTTAAAATGTTCAAGCTTGGAACAATTTATAAGCTCGTGGGAGTTCAAAGGACCTCAAATCAGCATTAAAGAGCTGATAGTTAGTGGGGCACGTGTCCCACAACGGCCGTTTGATGAAACGTGGGCAGTTAATGCCTAGTGCACGATTTCCTAGGATTTAGAGATTATGATGATGGCTAGAGATTGTGGCATGCTTTGATGAGACGTGTTTTGAGAAACTGCCATGATGGTTCTGACATCATGAGTTCTTGGAATAGTAAGAGACATAAAAGACATGCAAAAGTCATTCGAGGCGTCGAATGATACTATCAAAAAGTGTCATGTTCTTCATTGATGTCGAAAATGACATTTTTTAGGGCAATTGTTGGCTCCTAATTTCGACGCGTGAATAAAATTAAAAGTAACAAATAGAGTTCCTAAAAAAATCTGATCACTTCGACTGGAGCCATGTTTTGAAATGGGAGTCGAAGGCATCCTTTCGCCAGGAAATTCTACGTTATGGACTTAGAGATATTCCTCAGCAGTTGGGAGACTCGATTCGACAGAAGTGTCACTAAGGGTATTTCGACGAGTTCATTTGAATTCAAATAAAAGAGGAAAAATCCGTTTTTTAGAAATACACGTGGAGCGCCTCTATGATTCGAAGGCATGCATAAAGACATTTGTCTTGATTTCGTTTGTTAGCCGTTAATGGCAGTTATGTTTGATTATTATAAGTAACAGGTCTTAGTGTTAGGATGTGTGTGTGTGTGTTCAATTGTGTACAAATTCTTCAGTATACTCCAAGTATCCGTGTGTTGAGAGAAACGAGTTTGTAAGAATGTACATTGACTAAACACCAATTTTTCATTTCAATGCAATTTGATAAATCTCTTTCTTTAAGAATTTATTCTTTCTTTATGCAAGTTCTTATCTTCGTCATTTACCAGAAATTTTTTTCTTTTTCAATTTTCAACCTTCTTTCAACATGCCTCCTTCCCATATTCTTTGGCAAACTCGATTCCAAACTCTTTCCCATATTCTTTAGCAAAACCTTTAAGATGCCCAATTGTGAATTTCCAATTGTTACACTCCATCTCTTCACCTCTGAAAACTTATGTGTTTCGATTGTTCATAAGGAGGTCATCCACTTCATTATCCCAAACGAACAAAATGCATGCTACCTCACTCTACAATTAGAAATTTTCAGATGAATCAGACATATTACTATATTCTAATTAGAACCAACAAATAGAAATTATCTTTCCACGATTTTTGCATCTCCAAAACTTCCTCCTAGGGTATTCTTGGGTGTTTGACACGAACACTTTCATTGGAATGTTGCAACCACATTTGAGTATTTTTCTACTGGTTGAATTGACAATGGAGAAACTTCTGCTACCATCCATTTTCATACCCTAATTTGAAGCTTTAAGAGTGCAAACACGATTTGAAGAAGACGAAGACAATGTTATAATATTATATACCTCAATCAAACATATGTGACAAAAATAAACTTAGGTGTCATTTAAAAAAATGAAAAAGAAAAAAAAAAGGTCATTCAGTTTGGCACATATACACTTGACATGTGTCAGATATCTCAAAACTATATATTAATGAAATCTTAAAATGGTAAAAAGGTATTTGCAAAAAAAAAAAAAAACTTACACAAAATAAACTGAAAGTCGCCTATACCACATAGAAATAAAATAAAATATTAACCCATATTTTAATTATCCCTAGATGAAAGTCGAAGAGTAATATTAAAGTTTATATTGTATTCGGTTGATCCTAATCGAAAGACTAATAAAATTTTGAATGTGTGAACGTGTGATTTCTTTGTTCGCAGTGAATTTAATTCTTGCATTTGTAAATCTCCCATTTAAGCCCTAACAATGATGTAAGATTCTTTGATCATGCTCTAAGCAAAGCAACATTAGATGAATGGGACAACAATCTCAAAACTTGTCCTCCCAAAACAACATACTCGCTGTTTCTCAACCTTATACGACATAGGAACATGCATTACCTCACTTCAATCATGTGCCCATAACACAAACCTCTCCAAAGGCAAAGAACTCCACTCCCATTTGCTCAAAAATGGCTTCTTTTCATCCCCACTTGCCATCACCAGCCTCATCAACATGTACTCCAAGTGCACCCTCATCGATTACGCTCTTAAAGTCTTCAACTACCCTACCTATCGTGACAAAAATGTTTTTGCTTACAATTCAATCATTGCTGGATTCGTTTCAAACGGGCTTCCCAGATATGCGGTTGGCCTTTATAAGCAAATGCGCCATCTGGGTATTGTTGTTCCGGATAAATTCACGTTCCCGTGTGTGATTAGAGCATGTGGTGATTCTACAGAGGTTTTGGAGGTTAAGAAGATTCATGGGTTGTTGTTTAAGCTTGGGTTGGAATTGGATGTTTTTGTTGGAAGTGCTTTGGTTAATACTTATTTGAAATTTGGATTGGTGGTGGATGCACATGAGGTGTTTGAGGAATTGCCTGTTACAGATGTTGTGCTTTGGAATTCAATGGTTAATGGGTATGCGCAGATTGGATACTTTGAAGAGGCCTTGTGGATGTTTAGGAGGATGGGGGAAAATGGGGTGGTTCCTTGTAAATATACAGTTACTGGTGTTTTGTCTATATATTCTGTTATAGGAGATTTTGATAATGGACGAGTTGTTCATGGGTTTGTTACAAAAATGGGTTATGGCTCTAGTGTTGTTGTTTCGAATGCACTGATTGATATGTATGGGAAATGCAAATGTGCTAGTGATGCTTTGAGCGTGTTTGAGGTGATGGATGAGAAGGATATCTTTTCATGGAACTCGATCATATCAGTTCATCAACGGTGTGGTGATCATTATGAAACTTTGGGGCTTTTTGATAGGATGTTAGGCAATAGGATTCAGCCTGATTTGGTTACAGTTACAGCAGTACTTCCAGCTTGCACTCATCTAGCAGCGTTGATGCATGGTAGAGAGATACATGGATATATGATTGTAAATGGGTTGGGGAAGGAAGGAGGAACCAACGAGTTTGATGATGTTCTATTGAACAATGCTTTGATGGACATGTATGCAAAATGCGGAAATATGAGAGATGCTCGGATGGTTTTTGATATCATGACAGAGAAAGATGTGGCCTCATGGAACATTATGATCACTGGTTATGGAATGCATGGTTATGGTGACGAGGCATTAGATATATTTTCTCGTATGTGTCAAGCTGAATTGGTACCAAATGAAATCAGTTTTGTTGGATTGTTATCTGCATGCAGCCATGCTGGCATGGTGAAGGAAGGGCTTGAGTTTCTAGCTGTAATGGATTCAAATTTCGGTGTATCTCCATCCATTGAACACTACACCTGTGTGATTGACATGCTTTGTCGAGCAGGGAAACTCATGGAGGCTTATGATTTAATGCTAACAATGCCCTTTAAGGCAGATCCTGTAGGATGGAGGGCTTTGCTAGCAGCATGTCGCATCCACAAGGATACAGACTTGGCTGAGATTGCAGCAAGTAAAGTGATTGAAATTGAGCCGGGTCATTGTGGAAATTATGTGTTGATGTCAAATGTTTATGGTGTGGTAGGTCGATACGAAGAAGTATCTGAGTTGAGACACACAATGTGGCAACAAAATGTGAAGAAGAGACCAGGTTGTAGCTGGATTGAACTCATGAATGGTGTGCATGTATTTATAACGGGTGACAGGACACATCCCCAAACTGATTTTATCTATGCTGGTTTAAATTCGTTGACAACAGTTCTTCAAGAGCATGGGTATGTCCCGATGGTCTAGAAGCATTTGCAAAGAAAGCTTAGGCATATGACTTCATACATGTTTCAGATACAGCAACATTGGTTCACCATCTAACAACATTAGTTCAACATCTAATATATTGTAGAACTTTAGGATATATTCATTGTAGAGGAATTATTCAGAACAAGATTTTGGTAAACATAGCCACTTGTGTCCTCCGTAGACTTGGGTGGCACCTTGTTTTTACGATCAGAATTCGAACGCGTTGCTTTGTATTAAACATTTTGTTGAGCTTAGTTATAGCAGTCATTAAATTTGGAACTAGATTTTTCCCATTCTTTACATACATACAAAAGCACTTGATGCAAATATGTTTCACCCACAGCAGGATTTCTTAGCCTAAATTGAAGGCTAAAACATACATACTCTTGGTAAATAAAGAACAGAAGATTGAAAGATCATACCAATTGGAAAACAAACTTAACGACATTAACTTTTTTCAATTGGTAATAACAGAAAATGATCCATCTTGGTAAATATTGAAGTCAAATATTAAATGTAGGCAGAGTAGCACCTGCTGAGGTTTTCTGTCTCAATGTTCACATGAGGCAGTTTTTAATTGTTATAAATTATATTATTAAAAATTTATTGTTTTATAATATTTCTTTTTCTGATGCATGAAACAATCTCCAATGGTCTGTCATATTTCCTTGCATCGCATTGTTGTAGATCACAGTAGTAGTTTGTTCCAGCATTTGTGATGCAAGAGACATATTTGAGTTAATTTGAAACTGAGGTTTTAACTTGTAAACTTCTTTCACTGTATTTTATAGTAATTGTTGAGGCTTCTGCCAGAGGTCAACATGTCATACAAAAGATAAATGCAGAATTGACCTCAACAAGTTACCTTTTCAACTGCAGGAGGTCACAAAAACTTAATTGTATATTTTTTCATATCCATTTTTGATTTCCTTCCGACAGATTTTCTATAGTTATTAATTAGTATTGGTTTCGCAATTAAATGGTAACACTAGCAATTATGGACATCAAAAACAAAATATTTGTATTGTAAAAACAAAAAACAGAACTATTGTTACAAGGGATGACAATGCGTTTCCGCTAAGATTGTCAAAATGAATATACATATATTTCCTTATCCTTCACATATGTAACATGTCAAAAAAAAAATAACAGAAACTGAACACTGAACAGGCAATAATGAATCTTGAATTTCTTTCTAGCCAAGACAACAAATTAGTAACGCGACCCTACTCTTTCCTCCTTATACGTGTGTGCACAAATGAAGCTACATAAAATTGGTCTAAATTCCTTTGGGGGTTAACCCCCTTCATATCCCAACCTCCAAAACAAACCAACACCAATATTTATATCTGATGCAGTGAATGAGGATACTACTTACAACAATTACAGGAACGATGCTCCCAAAAAATGAGATTACGCATTTCTATGTATTCTTATTTTAATCCACCAAGCTTCTTTTCCGCACATTCAATTCAAATTGAACCGTCTATGTAAACTCTCTGGTATTCATTTTCAAACCTATCAGCATCAAGAGAAAAATCAAACACTGATTGTAATTATCCTTGCTCAAGTTTTTCCACAAACCGTTCATGCAGCAAATAGGGGCTTACCGTTGAATGAGGAATCTGAATTAGAATAAGAGCCATGCAGTATAAAGAAACAGAAATGACGACCCCAGTAATAAAATTATGCAAAAGCTTTCGATTGTCTTTTGTGGGTAGGAACACTGTCTTGAGGGTATTTGTTAATTCAAAAAGTCGATGAGATACCTGCAAAATAATGTCAAGATTGCATTGCAGCACAAAAGTGCAATTTAATAAGGATATATTTCCTCAAAATTGAAGATAAATAAAACAAGATAGATGCTAAAAGTACCAAGTTAGATGCTATTTAATAAGGATACCTTTCCTCAAAATTGAAGATAAATAAAACAAGATAGATGCTAAAAGTACCAAGGTACAATAGTTAAATAATAAAAAATGAAATTTGTTTATTAAAAAGTGCAACTTTCTTATGTTATCAATGTATTAAATGATACTTTTCTTAATGTACGCCTATTTTTATTTATAAACTTGTGCTTTTAGGACAGATTAGCAGAAGAAAAAAACTGAAAGAAAGATCCGTACCAAGACGTATAAAGCAGTAGTAAGCATGAAGTTGAGCATAGGATACTGTGGGATAAAAGAAAGAAGCCACTTGGGCTGTCCATTTGGCATATTTGATCTGTATGCATAGAGGAAATTATAAGTACACATCTTACTAAAGGATAGTTCTTTCATTTGTTTTGAACCATTATATTTTTCCATATTTTGTTCATAATCCAATATACAAAGATATATTAAATAAACAACAAAAGGCACAAAAGCATACATCCTAAGAAGTTTTTCTATTCGTGACAATTGCAGTCTATAAAACCAGGACCGACTTCAGCAAGTATTGAGACCAGCCATGATCAAGAAACCTAAAACTTAGCTGTGGGCTATTGTCTATTGATCTGGGTCATCATCACTAGGGATCATAATATTTTCAATTCATTAATCTAAAGTCGGGAAAGTAGGAAACACGTTAATGATATATAATACATAATCATTTGAGGATATATCTCAAATGACTAGACCACCTCTTTCAGAATTGTCAATCACTGTATTTTTATATCACATAGCCCTCTTGATGTTATATCACAGACATAAATTGCAGGGAATGGCTGGTCATCTAAACGAAACAGAAGAAACCACACCCACTCCCATATTTATAAATTAATTGAGGCCGAGTGGATAGTGAAAGAATATAAAAGATTAATATGCATACACACCTCAACCAAATGTGAAACTGTGAAATGTAAGTCTCCAAAGTAATTTTGCCAAGCCACCTGATAATGCATACAGAAAATGGGGGAAATTAAGAAACAAATATTAGTAGAAAATAGGTGTTACCAAATAAAAGCAAAATCCGTCAAAGCCTCTCAACATGGAATTTCAAGAATTCTGGTTAAGAAAACATACGCAAAGAGGGTCAAGGAGAAATTCCGTATGTGCTGAGTGAAATTCCTCAAGCAAATGTAAACGCTGAAAAATAATAATAATAATTAAAAAACCAATGAGCTGGAAAAATTGTTATTCTTCATAATTCTAGAATCACTATCATTCAAGTAGAAAAGAAGGAAATAAATAAAACATGAAGAACATGCAAAGAGGTAAGAGAGAAATAGATAGCACCCACGTGATTGGAATCCACGAGGTGTATGGGTGAAGTTTGTTATATGAAACTTTGTCCAGCTTGTATATGTATTCATACCACAAGTACCCAACCTAGAAAGAAAATAGAAAATGAAATGTTATCGCTTAGTCTTTTTGGTCTACATGTCTACATCTGTGCAAATTAAAGTAACATAAAAAGGGAAGAGAAAACCATGAATAATCTAAGCAAACAGTTTAATAATAAGAAGCCATGTAACTCACAAATAAAGAAACTGACACAATGATGGTTTTGATTGTTAATTTTCTCTTGATTTCACACTCTTCTAATTTTTCCATCCATTTCTCAACCTGAAATGGTAAAATATGTCAAATTTAAAATAGCTGACATCACTTTAAAAAAATACTCACTACAACACAAGCTAGTATACGATATTACATTTGGATGGAAGTAGGCATAAATCATTCCAACTATCCAGATGTAGCGATCAAGACCAGATCTGAAATGCCACTCATGCATTCGGGGTGCATCAGGCTTTGCAGGATCAGTATAACCTGCCATATGAAGATTACAATTATGAGATTGCAGTAAAAAGCATACCAACTTACCATTCTTATAATAACAAATCAATTTGAAACATTCAAAACGATAATCAAAAGCATTGCATTGATATACAACTTGTTTAAAAAAGGAGAAAAACATCTATTTCAAAGCATAAAGTAGATTAAGGGGCCATGGGTGGAAAAAAAACTGGTTTGAGGCTGTGAATCAGTAGAGTAAAACCAACTGGCAATCTCAGGTATGACAAGTTGTGACGAAAGTCACAACAAAACAAGCTGATATACAGAAGTACAAGTTAGATGTATTACTAACCCAAAAAGAATGCAAATGGGCTCCAGAATATTTCAAAGAATCCTGGAATTTCCCAAATCAAGATCACAACAAGAAAGCATGCCACAAACTTTGCGGCCATCACTGATCTAACTTCATTGTACTTATTATATATACCCAATGCTCCATACACCATCAAAGTGAAAAGCGTGTGCATTGGACATATATAATAGAGCATATAGTCGTTGTTAAGCACGATACAACAGAAGGCCACGAAAAAGTTAAGCCGCCACATCATCTGCAAGGCACTTTAATGAGTTAAGCATATTATTTAAGCGAAAAGAGTAGCGAGTTAAGCATATTATTTAAGCGAAAAGAGTAGCGAGTTAAGGACAGCCAACGGACAACACCACCTGAAAAAATATAAGTAAAATAGAAATTGTACTCGGGGTCAAGAAATCTATATTACCTGAGCAAAGCGTGGAAGGCTAAAATCTTTTCTTATATAATAATAGGAGAAGTTGCCAAACCCAGTCATCCAAACATACGCAGCAATGAAAACACGTATTGAATTGTATATCTCCGTTGCAGCAAAATAATGATACATTAGAAAAAGGACCTGAACACGCGGAACAATAAAATGAACAAATAGTTAGAAGTACCTAACAAATTCAAAGCCATATTATAAAAAAGGAGCAAGTTTAGATAAATTATGGCATTTTCAAAGTAATACACGCCAACAGTACATTGAGCTACATCAACTTTAGTTACATTTTTATCACTAAAAGCCTCGGTTTTCATGACATCATCAAATAGCTTCCATATTCCATAATTTCTTCCTGGTAACGTCTATGAAATAAATCATAATCCATGTACTAAAAAAGTAACAAAAGAAACAAAGTAAACAAGTAACAGAAGAATGAGAAATTCAAATCGAACTCGGATAAAAATTTTAAATCAGGCATTTTGCAGCAGGTAAAACAATGTCAGTTGAAAAATAAAATGTCAATGAACAGATAAGGTAGATTAAATACTTTTAACCATAATTTTTAGGAGGCAAGCAAAAATACAGCATCTTGATTTACATGTTTTCAGGGCGGTAAAAAAGGAGCACCCACCTGCATCCATCCTTTCCATTCTTCTGTTTGATGCCGATTAAGGTAAAGCATGCTTCGTACAGAAAATGATGATGTGTCATTATGTCTTTTCAAAGAAGTCATTGCTGAAACTATAAGCAGAAGCATGAAGAGGAAAATGAAAAGATCCCGATTATAGTTCTGTCCAAAAATAGGAAGGAAAAGCAAGTAAGAAAATAATATCTATAGACTACTTCACATTCAATAATAATATATCTATAGACCCAGTGGATATAATCTTTCCAAAATCAAGCCCGTGTGGCAGCATATATCTAAACAAGTCTGATAGCTTTAATTGAACAAATAATTGTTGCATATATCTTTCGAAGCCTGATGAAGAAGCAGTAACAGAAATAGAACAACAAAAATGCCGCACTGAAGTGTATACGTCTAATTGGATATTTGGGGAAGCGTTTGAGCTTCCCAAACTTGCTTCTACATGGGATAAATGCGGTTTTATTAAGAATATCATGTTTGTTTTTAAAAGTCAAAATTGGTTTTGCTACCAAACCTTGGTTGAACAAGAAGTGATAAAAGTAGGTTTTGTGTAAATTTGCACCAATTATTTTGGAAAAAGATTGCACCAAATTGTACGTCAAACTTGCTTTTACATTAAAAACATCAAAATATATATCACTTCACCTTAAACTGAATTTTACATAATCATGTCTGATAATACTCACCCAAGCACACTAAAACATCATGAATTGTGAAGTGAGCTATTCTAAAATCGACAAAGTGAAAACCAGTCATGGTGGACATTTATGAGATAGAATTCTTCTCAATCACTTGAATAGTTATTTCCAAGGTTAGCAACATTTCTAAAAGAATACATAAGTATTTTAAAGAAAACTGAAAGCATTAATAACAACAAAAAGTGTGACAACTAAAACGAGAAATCAAACAGTTACAAACAAGCATACAAAAATTGAAATTTTCATGGAACAAGTTTCTCTAAGAAAATCACTTTACTATACAAAAATATTTGAAGTTGCAGATCAAAAACAAGTGGATTTTTATCAAGTGGTATTTGTGTACCTTTGTTGAAGCTCCAAGCAAGTCGGTTCGATCACATATGTAGAAATAAAACAGAATCAGCCCAAACTCAGCCCTATAAAAAATTGCCAATATGTTTCAGGATTCAATAGTGTAACATATAATATTTTAGTTATTAACAAAACAATGACTTACATTGCCCTCAAAGTTGCCCGATTTTCTAGCAAGAAAGAATCATCCATGGTCAAGAACCTAGACAGGACAAGCAAATAGGTAAGGATCTTAAAATACAGAAGTAAAACACTTAAAAGAAGCCCTTGACATTGCACTTCATAGAAAATTACCGAATTAAATTCATTTTGACAGATGATGCATGCAATTTTGCTGATGCTGATCTTGTAAGCCCTGCTTCCAGCAAAATGGCACGATCATCTTCCTTAATTGTATCCTTCTCCAACTCATCAAGATTAGTATCTGAATGACTGCAGTCCGCCAGGAGAATTGTTCAGAATTAGAAAATATTTGCAGAAAGTAATTTTATACATTCCTTATGTCAAAAACATCAAAGCACAAAATTCAATTTTTGAAAGTAGGAAGTTCAAACTATAAAGGCGCGTCACTGAAAAAAGTGATCACATAAATTAATTTAGTAGCTTAAACAAAAACATAAAAAAGATTCAAGATGGGAAACATATCATCCATATTAGAAGGTGTTAATGTTCACGCCACAAAAACCTTCTAATACCAAATTCTCAATATGATTGCAGGATAGTAGTAGTTTTAGTGATCACATGACACATGAGTTCATGTATGCTTACTCCACAGACCAAAGTCCAAAGGTTTACTCAACATCTAACTTTGTTTATTAAATCTTAAACTCCGAGTTTTATTAAACATACTACAACTATTTAGTTATTTAGTAATTGACATATTATTATATTTTAAAAACAAAGGCACAAGTGCAGATTCAGAGCTGTAAGTAACACAGGTGTCATAAAATTGATATGTAAATACTAAATATACTTGATTTAACAATCACTATTGATTCCCAAATACCTTATCAAACATTTAACTAATAGATTTTCTCCTTTACTAATCCCAATCAGATCAAAATTGAAATACCATCAAAGTGGCACCACAAAACTTACACTTTAATAGGAGACGAGGTTTTCTTGTACTCTAAATATTCTGAATATATCCAAGAAACAAAAACTGGAATAACTCCCAGCAAGAAAGACACCTGAAGGCATAATAAACAAAACTCCATCAGAAAATTGCCTACATCATATGTATACTAGTATATGAGATATACTATTCAAACAATAAGATTTAGATCTAATTTTCCTATACACCAGGTCAACAAACATACTCAAATATTTTTTTTTTTCATTTTTCATATTTTACACTGCCATTCACATTGAAGTAAAAACAAACCATCACAGAAATTCACAAATCCAAATCACGAAATTCACAACTAAAACTATCACAGATCATCTGAAACAACATTATTCACCACTCACTATAATTAATCTCAAAATTTATGATAAGCAATTCGAGATTCAATTCAACGTTGAAATCAAACAATTAAAGTAGACACGGACCTGCCCAGGCGTAATTGGCCCGGAAACAACCATCTTCGATCCAAGCAAACTGCTGCAATCTAGAGAAAAAAAAACTGAAATCAAACACATTCGAAATCAAAACAATAGTAGAAATCTGAGAAATATACGAACCAAAGATGAAGAAATTGAAGCAGGAGAATTGGTGAAAGAAGCGTGTCAAAGAGTGATCATAAATAGCAGAGAAAGAGAAACCCTAGAAAGAGAGAGATCTGAAAGGAAGATGAAGAGTTTGCTTGAAGAATAGAGAAAATGTCGGAGGGGATGTCTCTCTCTCAGTGGTTGGATTGGAAACTTAGAAGAAGAACGCTTTTGAAACAAACCAGTTTAGAGATAAATTGAAATTGAGACGAGTGTTAAAATGTGTCGTTTTTTTTACTGTGATTTTGTTAAATGTTTCCATGATGGTTGTTGATACTTTGTTTTCTTAACTTGCTTCAAATTTAAATATTACTTCAACTAATACGTTTGTATAAGTAACCTCCTAATCCAACAACTAATTATGTTTTTCATTTTGTATAACCATTTTTTCTTAGTCTTCAACGCTACTAATTTGACGCTTTTCTTTTCTTAGTAGTATACGGAAAAAAAATACTAGTAATTAATTTGACCCTTTTCGTTGCTTTCTTCATTCATTATTTTCATTAATTTCTTTTTATGTTTCTAATTAAGTTCTTGTCATGAAATGGAATACGGTTAATTATGTAACAAAATTATTACTACCGACAAATTTAATGAATAAATATTTGTCATATCCCGTCAAAATAGTTTCTTTCATAATTGTACAAAAATTTCATATCATAACGCATTTGAACCGTGGAATTTAATTTATTTTAAAAAATGAAATTATACTAATTAGAAAAAAAAGTGTTTGTCATTTATATTTTTTCTTTAGTTTTTTTTTAAATAGTGCATGTTTTAGAAGTTATATATATTATAAGCAATTTAGTGTAATATTTGTATTTATAAAGTTGAATTATAAGTATTAGAGACCGAGTTTTTGGAAAATCGAGTGCGAGGATATAAATATGTCAGATATAATCTTACACAAGTTAGAATTCAGGTAGGAGCAACAAAGTAAGCATGTCGGAACCGACCTCATGACAACACGGACAGGTGGATAAGTCGCGTCCAACTTTAGTGCTAGGATATCATATGGAGAGTCACAAGAGACTGTTATGAAATGCCTCGTGATTGTAGGGGAGTTACAAACATTAACGGAAAAGAGGTTATATGGTAATTACAAAGGGCGGCAAACGTTATCTGATGCAACCTTAATGAGGGATGTAAAGGGGCATGCATTGAAGAATCATCTATAAGTCGAGCGATATAAAAAGGAGCTTTTTCCATGAAGGAAATGACAACTACGAAACCCTCATAATCAAATAGGACGATTGTGGTCTCTCCTGACTAGCTTCAAGAAGATTTCTCTAAATAGTATTTAGTAAGAACATTTGGCGCCCAACATGGGGTCTCGATAAAACTTTCTCAGACCTCATACGAAACCCATACATTATATAACATCAATATCATATATGATCATCTCCCAACATGAGCGAAGAGCACCCTTCCCCAGACATGGCTCATCTTCTAGAAATTATGGAGAACATGCGTCAGGAGATGTTTGTGGGAGCTTTTCAAAACGAATTGAAGGTCTATCACTTCAACGAGACATTGGCGCAGAAGTTGACTACTAGCATGGAGAAGGTCACGAGCAGGACGAAGTGTTATGTTAAAGGCGGGGAAATCAACGTTGAAAAAAGGTCTCGGGATGCTAAAAAACACAATCCAAACACGAAGGATCTGGGTCCATGAGGGAACACCAAAAACACATCCCAAGAGATGGATCAACGATGAGACCTTCTCAAAGACCCTATGACAACTTCTCCAAGAACTATACACCTCTCGATACAAAACAAGTCGACATCTTGAAGGAAGTGTATCATCTCAAATTGATACCTGAGTCGTATCAACCTGGGAGAGTTAATGTTGTACTAGGGAACGATACATGGGCATGGTATGCTTACCATCGAATTAGAGGTCATCATACAGAGGACTGTCATCACCTAAAGAGAGAAATAAAAACTCTAATCTAAAGAGGCCGACTATTAGCATATGTGAAGGAACCAAAAGGATAATCAGGAAAAAGAAGACCATCAAGAAGTGAACCCGATCAATTCAGAGAATACTTCCACCAAAAAAGGGAAGAACATTGAAGAAGTACATGAAACGTGGGTAGTGTGACACACGATAAATACCATCTCGGGAGGCTTTGCGGGTGGGGGATGTCATACCCCAAAATTTACCCTATATTTTTCCTATTTTTATTTGGCTCGTGATCCTCATAATCATAGTCATTTAGTGCATTCATTTACAATTTCATTTTCAAATACACATCATTAATTCAAAGCTTCTTGTTATTTATACCAAACATTGGATTGTGACAAATGACTTAGGGTTTTCATGAGGTACTTACGAATCAAGCCTATGGTATCTTGGTGCTACACTTGATTGAGGGATGATCATTTCTCTTGGGCTTAAGGCTTTGAAATCCTAATCATTGGTCTATGATTTTTGGTTATGTTGATTACAACATGGATAATTTGATTTGGAAGGCATGCTTCAAGTTTGATTTTGGTCAACAAAACTCAACCATGGAAGGTTGACTTTATGTTAACCATTCTCTATTGACCACCACCACAAAACAGTATCAGCGGACTCCCACCTCCACCTTCAAACTTCAACATCATAAAACAAAATTTTCAACAAACAACAACATAACACCACCTTTATCATCATCTTAAGACAACCTTCAAACAACTTTCCATAAACCCAAAATATCATCTCATAACTCTTCATCATCAACTTTAAAACTCAAACATCTACCACCACTCTCCTTTTTCACTTTAACACCACGTTGTTGGAATAGTAACACAACCATCCTCACCGTCTTACTTCCTCCGCCGCCTGCATTTTTTTCTGCCACACCACCAACCCTCACCCTCGTACTCCTGCCATCTCTTTTTTGCGTTTAAAAGAGTGTGTAGGAGAGAGATATCATATTTGTTCTCATGTGTTTTAAAAAGTATATATGTTGTGATTTATGAGTATGGGAGAGAGGGCGACTCTTAATTTTTAAATAAATAAGCAAAGAGATTGTTGTTGTGGTTACGGTAAAGAACGAGTAAATGGGGGAAGGAAATTAATTTTTTTCTTTTGACTTGAGACTCCTCCCCCACGTGTCAGACAGTGGTTAGAAGAAGTTAAAATTTCAAACTCTCTCTCCCTTTCTCCTCATTATCTTTCTCCCCTCATTCTTTTCGTGTTGTAATTTTTCATTTTTTATTATTATTTTCTTTTTGTTTCATATATATATATATATATATATATATATATATATATATATATATATATATATATATATATATATATATATATATATATATATATATATATATATATATATATATATATATATATATATATATATATATATATATATATATATATATATATATATATTGTTCTGGAATGGACTAGCACCTGCCCCACAACTGCACAAGGCCCAATCCAGTCTAGCTTAAGGCCAGGCCCAACTCGACTATAGGGCCTAATATAGCCGTTGGGGACGTGCCCCTCACGCGCTTGACAGTTCACGCGACCAACTGCCCCTCCGAAAGTCACAGAGACAGTTGGACCAAGTCAACGATCACGTGTTAGATCTTCCACCTGGAAGTCCCTCATTGGCCAACCAGACATTTCGGTTACATGGGAGACCTTGGCCCCATGCTGGGAGGAAACTTATAAATACCTTCTCTCTTGAGAGGGTCAGGTATTCTAATCATTCTTGCTCATACCTAAACACTCGTACTTGCTTTCTCTCTTTAGCCCAAACACTTACTTTAACATTGGAGTACCTTGCAGGTGCACTTCATCCTCTCCTACAACCACTATTGCTGCCCTACATTGAAGGCCAAGACGATCCATTATGATCACTCTAGATCAATGGTGCCGTCTATGGGAACACCAGTTCCCCTGTCTTTTTCAACCAAGATTTCCCAATCTTCCCAAATAAAATACCAAAGATACCTCTCTAAACCTTCATCGTCATGACCTCCCATCATAATGACGTCCAACAAGATTCCCCCGTCGTCGTTCTAGGTTGTGGCGAAACCCTCATCCCCGGAGCTGCCACCGGAGAAATTGATCACAAGGACGGAAAACCAACATCTCCTGACAACGTGATGCCCCGTGTCCAAAGCTCTGACCATGTATACGAACCTATCACCATCCCACAAGATGCTGACCCTTGCACAATGGCCCTCATCGCCACCCTTAACAAATCCAACTATTTGCTCTTCCAACAAAGAGAAAAAAATCCACATGCTAGAAAACACCATCGAAGAACGACCTCCCCCGCGGGGATCCCTCAACCCATCTCGTCAGTCACATTCCTCTCATCATAAGCATTGCCGAGACGAATCTAGAAACATCTCCCCTATCAAAGAACGATCCAAACTGGAGAAGCATGGGCATGAGACCATTCGAAAGAGCATTCGTACCCCTCTTCGGAAATCCAGGCACTCCCCTGTATCCAAAAAGCCTCGAGAATAGCACCGAAGCCGACATGAACGTTCTCCCCAATGTAGCCGGAGTCGGGGACGCAGTTATTCATTCAGTAGGTTGCTTAGCACGAGCGACGAAGATAACGCAAGTGGTCCCTTGTCATAAGAAATCATGGACACCCACATTCCGCACGGACTGTAGAAACCTCCCCCTCTAGCTCTCTATGATGGTACCACCGACCTTGGTAACCACATAGAAAATATTGAGGTCATGATGCACTACCACAATGTCCCAAGAGCGATCAAATGTAAGTTATTCCCCACCACCCTCAAGAAAGGGGCTATGACTTGGTACAAGAGCCTTCCTTGGGGCTCAATCACGTCGTGGAGGAGTCTTTAGGAGCAGTTTGCCCGACATTTTACTACCTCCAGGCGCCACCTGAAATCTGT